ATATAAATACAACCTAAGTACGATAAAAAATCTCTGGGGGCTTGATCAAAACATTCTAAATATTTTAACGTGCAAACGTTCCAGTAGCACAGAAGTTTAAAACATTTAGAACATTTAGAACACAGAGAACATATAAAATTTTTAGACGATGATCATTACTATTCCAGTTTAAAAGGAAAAGTGGCGAATCACGAGTAAGGGGATACCCAATAAAGAAGAAGTTCCACGGTCAATCATAGGCTTAAATAGAAAAGATATTCGGAATCAGAATTAAAAAAATTAGAGAGGGTGCTTATAGAGGTGCGATTATATAAAGTGACTATAGAGAGGTCTGATTGTATGTCCTTTTATTTTTATTATATGTTGTTTTTTGGTTTTTTATTAAAAAGTATTTTAAACTGTATAAATAATGTAAAATTCAATAACCAATCATACAAAAGCCTCAATATGACCTCTACATTTCTAGCAGTATAAAAAGCACTATTTATAAAAAAAAAAAAAAGAAGTTTTTGTAAGATAAATTACGTTGTATAAATAAGAAGGATCAAGAAAATTCCGAAACTAAAAATTCTAACACATACTACACTTCGCATAACCTTTAATAACATAAGTTTGATTTTTACTACATGATAATGTATGCGGTAAATTATTTTTTTTTCAACGTTGCAATCATCACTAACAAGATACAATAAGCGCTCATAAAAATAAGTCCAACGACAAAAACATATCCCCCACTAGTGACAAAGGGTTTTGAGTTATTCTTCATTCGTTTCAAATATCTGCGTCTTCTATGTAAAGCGATAAATAACATCGCACCACTAAGCGAAGCAAATACAAGTCCGATTTTATAGAATTTGTGTTCGAATATTTTGAGAACAATAAACGAGAATACGATCAAAGAGAGACTTGTTCTCCAATATGTACCCTCGAACGTTGTTTCAATATCTTTTAAATTTTAATCGGTAGATCAACCGCTAAGATTTTGACTTATACTTTCACAAGTAAAGGAAATTTAAGTACCTCTAATTATGTCCGAAAAAAATATACTTAAATTAGAAATAATTAGACGTAAAAAATCTTAAATCATGGTTTTTTTTTAAATTTTTACCTTATTTCCATTAATTCTTCTTCATTGAATAGCTGTAAATCAATATTAGAGTGACCTTGAATCTCTTTTTCAATTTCTTTTCCACGTTCTGTCATTTTTATGCAAAGGAAAAAGTATACTTATTTTGGTATAAATAGTCATTTTTTTCAATTTCTCTGACATAAATATCTCGTAAGTATTACATATTTGTATTACGTAATTAGATCCACTACACTATGCTGATATGATTTATCCCTTAAACCGTCAACTTAGATTCAAATATACACGATATATACTACTATCCAATATAATTTGTAGTTCAATCAAAGATTTAAGCGTGCAAATTTGTGGTATGACAGTTTATGGTATTTTTTTTCTCGCTTCATATACAAAACCTCGTATTTTTTAGTGCAAACTGACAACGATCCCATCACGCAACATTTTATATTCCAGAGAAGCAGCAGATAATGGCGTGGGAAGATTGAACAACGTGATAACACATGTCAAGGACATATGCATGGAGTAATAAATCAAATAATTATCAAATAATTAATGTGATAATATGCAAACAACATCCGAGGTTAGCAGAATCAGGCACATTAGTACTTGATCCAAAAATTTTTCATGACCTACCCAGCCAACTTCAAGGCTGAAGACAAGTTTTTAAATAAAATTATTCAATGAAAACTTTTTGTTAGAGTACTAAAGGTGGCTTCTCATACTGGTTTTGAGAAATAAGTAAATTTTGACAAAACGAACGTTCGCTTTGACCGTAGTTTAGGAAATTTGCGCCACAAACCTGGCACACATTCAAAACATGCATTGCGAATTTCGAGAGATGTCATTGCTATTCTAGTTAACTCAACCAATTACTCGTTCTTGATCATGTACTCTATTAAATCTTAATAAAAAGTCACCTCCAGTATAAACTACCTACCGGCATAGTCCAAATAATACAGTGTGTCGTGTAATGTGATGTTTTTCATCCCTATTAGCCTCAGGTACATTTTATCGAAGATATGATTTGCTTAACCAATAAGAAGTTGAAAAGTTAAGTGGAGATGTTTTACATATGTACCAGTTTATGATCCGTGCTGAATGCACGGAGGTCTTAATTTAAAATGTTAACGGTTATTATCTACAAATGAGCGTAATTACAATCGATGCATTTTTATAGAATTGATTTATATCTTGCTGAATTAGTTTGTATTAAATATATCAATTAATTAATGATATTTTTATTATTAACTAAATGAGTTTACTGAATGAGACAAGATGTGGTCGCGAAGATCTTTAAATTTATACTGAATATATTGATTAATTCATGAGGTTTATGTACTGTGCATATTCATGAACATTGCATATATATATTGTTTGGTAAAATTTATTTCAGATCTTTTATTTAAATTATTAAACTTTTGTTTTTTAAAGAAAAAAAATTTGCATGTAAAATCAAATTAAAGAAAATATAATTGTTTATAATTGAAATTATGTGATGGCTATTAGTAGAATTTCACGAGGAACATTTTTATTAGGCCACAGACGATAGTTTTCTAATAAAAATTTAGAGCTATTTCGTAAAAAAGTAAGTTTATTTCAATTTTTACATAAAATTCGATTGGTAAAATTACAGGATGTGGTCAATTTTTGTGAGTTAGGGATATCACTTTCTGAAGTATTAGCTTTATTGTATTTGTTAAATTTTGTAATAAAATAATGAAGCTAATTATAAAAAGGAATAATAAATAATAAATATATATTTGTTATCTAATTATTGAGTAAAAAATACTTAAGGTATTATATTTTTATTGTATTTATTGTTTTCGAATAAATGTTTATTAATTCTGTAATTGAAAAAATTTAAGAGGTAAATCGCGGTTAAAGGATATAAAAATAGCAAATTTAATAGCAGAAATTGTCGGAATGTAACATAGTTTTTCTATAGGGTTTGAATGCAACTAGCTTACAATGAAAAGTTTTTCTATGCCAAGTTTCTAACAAAGATTATAGAGCAAGTTATTCTGGTTCTAATATTGGTAGAATTATTCAAATTGGTTTAGTAGACCGTGAGTTATTGGAAATTTCTCCTTTATAGTTATATGACTTTTACATATTGCCAGAAACTTTCGGCATTCCAACATTATATGAAATCTCCGCCGATTTTTACTATGAAATTTATGCCCTTCAACCGCGATCTACCCTAACCTATTTATATTGATTTTTAGTTATATATATAATGGTTATTTTATTATTTGAAATAATCATGTTATGATTTTTTTTTATTTGATTAATTCATTTAAATAAGGAACGGATGTACTTGTGAATTAACACCATTATTTTGAGAATTTGCAGTATGATTTTTTTTTTTTTGGAAAAGAAATTATTTGACTAAATATTATAGATAATAAATTCTTGTGCTATTGTTTAATATTGACAGAATTTAACTCTATTTAGTATTCAAAAAATACTACCTTTTCATAACAATAATAAGATCGTATATCCTAGCCGGGTCAGTAAAGTGAGAGTTGAAAATTGATTGATTGTCTGTGTTGGCCAAAAGCACAGCGAACTTTCATTGTTATTAGCGTGGTCGCCCGAAAAATTCCGAAATATAAAAATCTTTCTAAACCTAAATTTTTTATACGATATGGTCAAACCTGCAGGAGGGAGAAGGGGTAATGTAAATCACAGAATTAAGTTGGCTTATTATAGTAGACTAATAAACATGTATAAAAACAATTTTAAACTTCAATATCCAATTCTATTAACGCAAAACTAATTTAATTTAACCTTGAATTCTAAATCAATACTTTAGATGTATCACTATGTTTTAACGCTAACCTCTTATGAAGTCTACAAGCCTGCGTTTCATTGCCTCGCGTTACTAACCTATTTTACTAGTAATATTGTCTTTTAGGATTATAAATAAATAATCAATAAGATTAAATTAGCGAAGTAAACCTTTTTAAAATAAATTACCAAGCTTAATAGATTTATAAATCATATTTATACTTATTTTCATCTAACTTCTGAATTACTTCACCGGTTACCAAATTATTTTTGTATATTATAGAGTTGAAGGTGTACTTTCTAAATTTTTATGTTGCAATTCTGCAAATTCGTGTTAGTGGCTGCAAATTCATTTTATGTGACAACGATCATTAGATAACATCAGTTAATGAAATTTAAAGGTTTTATAATAATAATTTTTAATACAGTAATAATACGTGACATAAAGGTTTTTTTTAGATAAAGCTGGTACTAAATAACTTTTTCTATAAAAAAGCGTAACTGAACGACAAGGATATGAAGATAGGTTCTGTTCAATGATATTTTCTATAAATTGGCATTTTGTTATGTATTACAAATTTGATTTTTATTGTAGTGTACTTTTAGATGTCAATTTTGGCCTATATAGTATAGGAATAGTTGATTCTAATAGAAAATAATAATAATGATTACAAATCCAAATACGAAACGCTATAATTTATAAATAGAAATATCTAACTAGCTGTTAATAATTTAATGTTAAATTTTATTCAATTGTGATTAATTTTATTTATCATTTATTCCTCAATGTATTTTGCAGCTTGTATCCATAAACAGCTCGGATCTCTAGCACTCCGTTCATCATAATATAATTGATAATCTGCGGGTCTAAAAGTATAATCCATAACTTCATCTGGATTATTGATACTGTAGGCTTCAGCTATTGTAAAACCCATAGTTAAATTTGGAGGAAATGTCAATTTAGAAATTAATGAAGCATCAAGATTCTTAAGCCTTAAATTTTCAAGAAGCTGATTAATAAAAATAGTATTTGTTGCCGTTCCAACAGCATATTGAGCAAAAGAAAAAGGATTATCCGGAAATCCACCAACAGAGATTGTGGGAACATTAATTTCTGCCAATCTTTGAGTTATAATTGCGCATGATGATTGACATATTCCATTTGTTAAAATTATGATATCTTTCTCCTTCCATGGAAGTGTTGGGGGAGTTGGAAATTTTAAAAGTCCAGTGTAAAGTGTTGTATCATTAAAAAATGCCTTTGTGGTATATTTAACTTGAACACCGCCGCGGGTATATATATTATTCCCAATAAAGTCCATAACATTATCAAATGAAGTGTTTGTCTTTACAGAAATATATGTCTTATAATCAAATACAGCTCCATAAAGCTTAAGCTTTGCAAATTCCTCTATAAATGGGATAGAAATATGATTAACCTTTAGATCTAACGGAAAATTTTGTATGTTAGGAAATAAGAGCTTATTTATATAGTGTGCAACAAAAATTAAGCCACCCGAATTATTACTTAAATCTAAAATTATCTGATATGGTATAAAAATATTTTAATAAGATATTTTAGAGTATCTTTAATGTATTGAATTCGACCTACCTTTTTTATTCCTTTATCTGCAAGTAATTTAAATCCAGCAGTTAAATCATTCAGAAAACGATATTCAAGGTCATTATCATTGTTTAAAGTCTCTTCGGTCGAAATTAAGACTACACCAAAATTTTGTAATATATAAAATCTTGCAATGAATGCGTCAAAAATCAGAGTTGCTTCTCCGACTGACGTCCCATTAATGTATGGAGATTTATATTGCGAAATTGATAGAGATTTATCTTTAATAGGAACTTGCCATTTTCGAGTAATTTTCGAAATTTTATCATTACATTTGAGTGTATAAGAAATACTTGGATTTGTTGGTAACTGGGTACGAGCTGTGAAGAATTGTCCTGAAATTTGAAAATCACCATTTCCAAAAGTAAGTGATGCGAGAGCTGAATTAAATCGAGCACTTAAATCTTTTGACCAATATGTTTTATTCCTAGCAAATTCGGTAATCACTTCAATTGCTGGCCTATCATCTATCTCTATAACTTGGCAATCAATAGTACTAGGATCTTTTACATCATTAAAAACTTTAATTTGCTAAAATAAAGAATCAATTAATATAGCTTGTTTTTATGTTTATGACAATACGTGTTTAATTCTTTACCTGTGTGCCATCTTTCTTAATTACAGAATACATGGATAATCCCTGATAAAATGTATACTTGTGATAATTATCAGAAAGGAGCCTGTGGCAAAATATAGAATCAATAATTATATCTCTATAATAATACTTTCAATAATCGAAATAACTTACCAAGTATGACCATCTCTTAATTCTCCAATAAGATTTGCGACATCGTACTATTTACATAATTGATAGAATCATAAGTAATTTCATATATATTGATTAATATACAATGTATTTGAATTATATAGATATATTTACAATAAAGTGAAATTCATATGAATAATTATTCTTTAAAATCAAATCTAATTCAGATATTAAATCAATAGGTCTAAATGTAAATCCTGGCTTTGGTTCTTCTTTTGCTTGATCTAACAATGCATAAAATCCTATAAGATTTTCTTTCACTGCCTCTATTACCTAATATTAACAAAAGTTTAATATTAACTATTAAATTTATGCCTTACTTATTTGCTCAAAATTAGATATACCTGAATCGCCTTTGTTTCATTATACAATGTTAATTCAAAACAAGCTTTTACATCCGAATAATTAAGATATTGTTCCTCTAAATAAATCGAATTAACGTATTCATCAAGCATATCACATGCATTTTTATTTGTATCGCGTGGTATCCAATGTAAATGAACGCCATTAGTAAATACAGTAAATATGAAAATTATAAGATTGATTGTCTTCATTTGATACGATTTGTTTGATCAAATTTTATCAATATAGTCACAAATGGGCCGTTTTATAAACTTCGATTCATAAAATTTGTGATTATATTTAATAATTTTAGTCTAAATTAAATGCTAAAAAAGGAGTCTTATTCCCGCTTATAGCTTCGGAAATAAACTAATCTTTTTTGCCATATCTTAAATTAGTAAATATTCTTGCTTTATTTTATTCATATTCGCCTATTTTATCATATATTTTCAGCGTCGTAACGGTATCTATATTTAAAATCGGGCAACAGCCGACCATTCTAAATCATCTTTCAATAATTCAAAGTTTGGAGTATTTATAGTCTATTATCGATGAAGAAAACAATATCCGAATTTAGAATCTTTGTATAAAAGAAGGCAGGCTTTTAAAAGCTATTTGCCGAATAAATGTAATAAAAAGAAATTGACTATTCTAATCATTTCAAATGTGATTATAACAATTATTATTGTTCGTCATGGAACCTGTTCTTTCCAACAGAAGAAACGACTTCCGTGGCCAACACTACATATATACACAATTGTAGTACAATATGGGATGAGGTCGCTATAGCAAGCCAAACACATGTCACGTGACCAGAAATTGACGAGCATAATGAGCTTCAAAGGTTTAATATTTTTGGGTGCGGTGGGGGATGCCAGACACAATGTCGAGCAGAAAAAATCAAGAACACAGAACAAAAAAGATCATCTAGTTACTCAAATACTATTACAGATCACAATCGACATTGTGCAGTCCCCCTGAAAGGTTCAATGACTCACAATAATGTCCCGCCTTGTAACTTCGTTTACAAGCGGGGTCATTATATGCTATATACGTATATATTACGAAACTTAATGTTATTTCATCAATGATATCAATGATCATTTAATATCTGACTTAATCGTTTATTTTGACTTGAACATTATTTTTGGCGCACTCAACAATATTATATTAAAATTTAACCATAAAACGGGTTTTTTAATTCAAAAAAAAAAAAAAAAAATTGGAATTTTATAACTTTAATTTCCTGACCTTAACACTATATTCAGCTTAATGCGGTTAATATGTTCTAAAAATAAATTTTGAAAGCCCGCACTCTGTTGTACAAAGATCCTATATGTAGGCATACGAGTTTCTTGGTGATTTCATATTGTTAGAGGGAAATCCGGTTAAAACCGTTGCGTAACGATCGTCGAAAACGTGACCGAAAACGTGACCGGAATCGTAATCTGGATCGTGACCCAAAATCAAC